CTTGTTTTGTCCATGACGCAAACATATTTAGTTTACAGTCACAGAGAAGTAAAGAAACCACAAAACATTCAGTTTAAAGAAGCTGGAATCAGAGAATTTCCACTTTGTTTGAACTCTTAAAAAATGACTCAACGATTATCAAAGTAGTTACTGACTAATTCACTAGTTAGAAACAAATCGATTAGTCATTGCAGCTGTAGCATGAATACAATAAACACTCAGACTTTACAGTAATTCTTCTTAATACACACATAAAGCAACCTAAACAAACCACAACAATTACAAAAATGATTACAGTGTCAAGAAAAGCTCAGAAAAAATAATTCATTTTGAGATATACACTTGTATCATGCATTTTGGAGAAATAAAGATCTAACGTCAAAAGAGCAAATATGAACAAAACAAGACATTTATTAACTTGACTTTGGCCTCAGAGATACTGTGATTGGAGAGTTTTAACACTTAGAATACAAAGATTATTCAGTCAAATGTACCTTATAGTTAATCACTAATGAAAATAATCCATAGTTGCAGCTTTAATCTATTTCAATTCATGTAAATAATTAAATAGGTGTGAGGAAATTATTGTAACTCAGCCTCTGGAGTAAAACTGGATCCAATGTCATGACATGATGAAAGCCATGTGATGCTGCTGAGAGCTGAGAAAAGGTTAAAATGTGTTGTCATATACTGATCCCAAGGTCAGGACTGACCTTTCCTGCTCTCCACATACATTCATCTCTTCACATTCTAAATATAACCTTTTCTAATGTATTCATATTGTTATTTACCATGTAGAAATAATGCCACAAATGCCCTCCAGTATACAATTATTCATATCACAGGCAAGTATCTGAACCCTATTTCCTGCGCTGAGGGATGAAGAGAGGGGTTTCAGAGGGATTAATAATGACAAGCTGTGCATTAAACCTTGATGAATGGTGTGATGCAGCCCTGACGCAAAACTTAGGAGGCCTGCTATTGGCTGATTTACTGCATCGGGGAGGGTGCTGAGATACACATCACTGTGCACCCTGGGTGTCCTTAAGTCAACACAATCAGAATGATGCTGCACTGGAAGTTTTAGTGTGTTTTTGAGCAGCGCTGTGTCCTGGTCTATGCTAATCGTTTCACTTTCTTGAAATAATTTTTTGTTTGTTTTATACATACTGACTTTACCAAGTAGGAAATGCAGGAAGGTGGTTATTAGGTTGTTTTTCTGACACACTGGTACATTTCAATGGAGCTGAAATCACTTGATAATGAATTAATTAAAGTATATCAGCAATCAAATGACCAGAAGCTATTTTAATTTAGATCAGCATATATTCCTTTCCCTTATTTTTAAAGTAAAAATGCCAAATATTTGCAGAAAGTGCATTAACTGATTAGATTTGCACCTATTTAGTTTAAAGTAATTGTCATGCAAAAATGCCAAGTATTTTCTAATTTCACCTCCTGAAATGTAAGAAATTTCTGCTTTTCTTCCTCATATATGACAGTATATGAAAAATATTTAGCTTTTGGACTAAAGTCATTAGTAGGGGTTTAGAAAAAGCAATAAAGCTGCTTTCACATTTGTTATTACATGTTATGAACTAAACAACTAATGTAAATAATGAGTTGTTCATTGTACCCTTTTTTTAAAATGCTAAACAATTTATAAACACAGTGATTATTCCTGAAAATAATCAATGGATGAATCGTCTGTAAAAAATGACGGTTAATTTGAGCCCCACGCTGAGAACTTCTGTGTGATTAACTGGAGGTTTGGTATTTGGGGAAACCCTCTTGTGAAAGTTCTCACAATAAAAGCAAACTGTGCAGCGTAAAAATAACTTTTCAAGAAATGAAGAATCTGACCTACGTCTCCACACTGCCCATTTTTTTTGTCTGATGCTAAAAACTTCCCAGGACTGCGAGCTCACATCCTGATAAACAGCGCTTTCAGATCCATAGCCAACGCCGCCGTGCTCCAGACGCCGTCTACTCAGGGTGAACACAGGAAACCTCAAATGATCGCTTCCTCTCCTGAAGAATGGACTGACATCACTTTCTAACAACATGATCGCATGACTGAGTGACACATTATTATGTAATGTCTTAACGCCCTGACTGGGAGTACACTGGGAGTTGTCCTACCTCCTCCTGTAAGCTTTTTCTTTCCTTGCAGCACTGCTTGAGATTAAAGAAATAAAAGCAAAACACATAAAAGGAAAAAACACACCACAGGTTTGTTTTCTCAAAAAAAAAGGTCACACTCCCTCAAAAATGAGATAATTTCTTTGACAGGCGAAGTTGAACAGGTAAATCCAGTGAGATTTGAAAAAGGAAAGGTAAAGAAAGGAGTAGTTGTCCTCTTGTTAGAAAGTGCTGCCGTGCTTCACAGCAAGTGTCAAAAGCTATTATGAGCTTCCTTTCTCCCTTATGTTTTGATCTACATTTAACCACCACAAGACAGAAAAAGCAGCGCAGGGAGACAGGCTGCTGGGCTGCCATCAGGGACAGACTTGTAATACTTTCTGAAAGCATACAGTAACCTACATCTGGGGAGTCTCTGCACACATGAGAGCCTGTCTTTGCATGAGCGCCTGTTGGATCGCTCTACTCAATCAGCCCCTGTGGATTTTAATCCCACCCGAGGATGGAGGATGGTAGGTGGATATCATCGTCTCTTGCTTTAGGTGGAAACACTTATCAAATGTTCCATAAACGTTTCCCTTCCTACATTAGGCTGGGGATGTAGTCTAATATTAGAGAAGTAAATTAGGGTTATTATAAAGTCCAAGCATTTTCTTTTTAGTCACAAATTTATTTTAAGTTTGTCTTTGCTGATGACTAGTTAAGGTGGCACTGGCTTGGCTCTCCAGCACAACTTATCAGGTGTTTATAATACGGTCTTCATCTGACAGTTTCACACCAAAAACACCTCAATGTTTGTTTTTCTCTGCTATCATTTCCCCTTCACCGCAACCAGATGAGGTAGATGGCTCTCCACACTGAACCTGGTTCTGCAGGAGGGTTCTTCCTGTTGCTGTCATCTCTAAACAGAGAAGATGGTCTTGGTAGTAGTCCTGAGACTCCACACCTTACAGTTTTACCACCATTATCACGTAAAGTCACCTCTTATCGAATGTCATGTATATGTTTCACACCCAGCATCAGGCTGGAGATGCTAGCTAACATCAAAACTGACTTGGCTTCGCTACTGGGGAAGAGTAACACAACAATGATGAAAATACTGTTACAAGGGAAAAAATATGTTATTAAAAGGTTTACTAACTACTCTTTGCTGAACTTTCCTCTCTATCCTATACTCTCACCCCAACTGGTCGAGGCAGATGACCACCCTTTCTGAGTCTGATTCTGTTGGCAGCTTTTTCTTCAGTGTTAAAATTCATGTTCTTCTAAGAGGTTCACAACACCACTTATTAAGTACTTATAACGCAGTCCTGAGATCCCTCACCCGACAGCTTCATCCACCCCCATTATCACCTTGAGTCATTCCTCTCCAGGCAATTTTACAACTGTTTCCCAAAGTGCTTGCTCAAAGGAAACTGTTGGATTTGTTGTGTTCCTCTTTTGTCGTGACACAAAGTGCCCTGGGATGTTTGACGCTGTGAATTGGCGCTATATAAATAAAACTGAATTGAGCTGAGAAATGCATTGTCCTCATTGTTGATTGGATGTTTGAGCTTCACTGTCCAACGTTTGTTACTAGAAGCTCTTTATACAATTATCTGCTGCATGTGCTCACCTCAATCTGGGTTTACAGCACAGTTTTGTGAAATTACAACTACTTTGGAAGCCAGTCGTGGTCTGATGTGGGTGCTGAAAACTTGTAGCTTATCCAATGTCTTGTATGTGTTTTACATCCAGCATCAGTCCACGTTGGAGAGATGCCATCTGACACCAGACTATGACTGTTATAAAATCTAAGCGTTTAAAAAGTACACTTTGATATGATGTGATGGGCTTCTTTCTTGAGTCATTTTTTTTTCTCTCCCTGCTGATGACTATTCAAGGTGTTTCTGGGACAGGCCCACTTCTTCATGAATCCACCTCCAGACCTTGACTCAGGCCTGGAAAAACCAAACGATGAGGTAAATGCAAAAAGGCATGGCACCACCAAACCAACTCTTAGGAGCAGATAGATGACCATTTGCTTGGATTATGCAACCATAAGTGGCACTGTGGCTGTGCCTGCTGCCTGCAGGCCAAACACAGCCTGGCTGGATAAATATCACCCACAGGTAGACCTGGTAAACACACGGGGGGAAAAAAACTGCTGCTGTTATTAAAGCGAGCAGGTTAAAACGGTGCAGCGGCAAAATAAAATGACAACAGTTGGGGGTTTGTTTGCACCATAACTTGGACAGTTGTATTAGCAGGGTTTGCTAGCTTACTTCAGCGTCCACAGCAAACCCTCCAAAGGCCACGACTAAGTTTCCCAAACAGTTTCCACCCGAGTGTGTGGTTTAAATTTGAATTTTAGACTCCAATTGATATAACTAAACAGCAGCACGGGGTGTAGCGGAGGAGTGGAGCGGCTAGGTGTTAGCCCTCCAGCCGTTTCAGCGGGCAGTCGTGCGCCGAGTGACGGCAGCGACTTGCTGCTCTGACGGACAGTCGCACCGCCGCTGAGTCGGTGGGCTTGGTGGCTAACGGCCAGTCAGAACCATTAGGAGGGAACCGAGAAGCCTCCGTCCTCAGGTTAACTCAGCCCCCCGTTTCACACAGTCAGTCAAAGTGCTTCACCTCCCGTCGCACCGCTACGGTGTTTAGCCACAGCTAGGCAACGCAAAGGTGTTGTGTAATTGACGTTAAAATTGACTATTAACGGTAAATGGCACCTTCCTTTAAGCAGCCACACACACATACAACAAAAAAAAACGCCATCCACGCTCACTTGGTCTGCATCACTACTCGCAATGGCGGTGTGTAACGTTAGAGCGACAAGCGAGCTGTGAAATGTCATGAAAACAAATCCAGTTACTCACCGGAGGAATCCTCATCTTCACGTACGGTGCCGCGGAGCCCCCCCGGTAGCGGCCGTCATACCTAAATCGCCTTTCGCAGCTATTTTTGCGTATCCTCGTGTGGACCCTCCGCCGCCCGCCTCACTCAAACAGCACAAGTCGGAAAGTACAGCTTGTAGTCTGCCGTAGTTGTGCGACAGCGCTCCGTGATCCCTCCCCCAAGGTTTAATACTGGAAAAATAAGGAGCAGCGTCAAGTCCTCCGCGGCGGAAACCTGCTGCTCCCGGTGGCACCTTTCAAAATAAAACTCCTGCGCGCACTTAACACAGCAGGACTTTTTGGTTGTTAAAAACGTCTTACTTCTCGTCTAATGGGCTTCCTCAGGTCTAACTGGCAGGCTGGGAGTCCCGGGAATTTCTTTCTTTTTTTTTAAACCACGAAGCACATGGGTAATGGGTCATTAACAACCCAAAACTCACATGTCTGAAGGTGTGAATGGTTGTGAAACTGAATGAGGGACACTCCTCTGAGGACAGACATCACTGACAGATAAGCCAGATGGTTGTAGAGGGTAGTAGACATTTATATTAAATTGTACAAGACTTCTTGAAACAGAGGACCCATTAGGGAAATTGTTTGATCACAGTAGCAACACAAAATACATAAATATATAAGAATATACCCCAACAAGGCAAGCAGGGGAAAAAAAGAATATAATAAAAAAGATTTCCGTATGATATGTAGGATTTACAATTTACATTTTTTTTCTTCTTCTCCCTTTGCCAAGTAAAGAAAGACAAAAAAATAAATACAAAACTGAAAATCTGTTTCACATTCAGCATAATTAGGATGGAAATGCTATCTAATATTAGACTTGTAAACAATAGCTCTCATAAAGTGTAAATTAAAATATTATTTGCAACTCTATTGTGAAAACATACATTTTCACAGCACATTCATGACCACAAAATGACAAAACAACAACTTTACTCCAAACTGGGGCAATTTTGGATGCAAACTTCATGTAATCAATAAATGTGGTAATTTACTGAGAAGAAACTTTTTTGTTTTGTTTTACTGTAAACCATCCAAATAAACATCACTTTAATTTCAAAATGAAAATGATCTGCATCTGTATCTGGTGCATCAGCTTCTGCAGTTTCCTTCTTCCTGACCACTTTCATGACCACATTCTTAAAAACATCTTACTTCCCATCAAACAGGCTTCTGCGGTTTCATCTGACAGACGGGGAGTCCCTGGAATATTTTTTTCCCCACAAAACACATGACTAATAGGTCATTAACAACTCAAAAACTCACATGCCTGAAGGTGTGGATGGTTGTAAAACTGGATAAGGAACACCCGGTTTCATTCTGGACAGACCAGTTGGGTGTCGGAGTTGGGAGTGAGGACAGCCATCTGTGTTTCACACCACTTATCTGCTATTTTGAATGCTTATTATCATTGTGTGATGTAGCAAAGTGGCACTGACTTGGCTCTGCTCCACAGTAATACTACAGTTTTAAAATACTGTGTTACAAATAAATATCTTGCATTATGAAGCTTACTTGCACTCTGTTTGTCTGTTTCTCTCTGCTGTCATTCCCTCTTCCCTCTCTGGTTCTGCAGGAGTACTCTAAACAGAGGATGTGGTCTACAGTAACACTTATGAGGTACTTATAATGCAACTAATCTTGTATTAAAAAACTTACTTGCAGCCAATGTGCTGCTTGTCTGTACTATGCGGCCTATGACACCAAGAATCGTTTACTTATAAGCATTACAACATCTTGATTGTTAGTAATTACTTTACTAATTTTGATTATTAAGGATCAGAACTGACAAAATTATACATGGGAAGTGCAACACATTCAAATAGTTGCACATTAAATATGTCTAAATTGTATTAAATTCCATCACATCTTTAAAAGTTGCATCTTGAACACCATATAATATAATTTGATTGAGACATAATGGCTGATTTCAGCACCATTTTTTCAACTTATCTTTAACCCGTTATAGGGCACTCCTTGATATACTTGGAAAATGAAAATTTCAATCCTAGGGTGTTATTGAAGGATATTTCAATATATTTTTACTTTTGTAACTTCAAAAAAAAAATGTTGCAAATCAAGGTTAATAAGTTACCATATATGGTAACTATGGTTTTAGAAAGAAGGGAATTTCTAATAAATAGAAGAAAAAGTAACAAACTGCAAAAACCATTTATGTAGAAACATTTTAGTATTTATAAAGTGCTTGGCAAGTTCATTTAGTAACATTGTTCTTGGGGTAGTGGTATTAGTGGCACTAATCTTAAAAAAGAAAAAAAGTCAAAGTGGAGTTCAATACAAACCAGTAACAAAGCGTCTATAAAGTGCCTGGAACATTTGTTTAGTGACATTTTCCGTGAGGTAGTGATACTGACACTAATATAAAAACTAAATCACAGTGCACGTGGTTCCTCAACCTCAAGGAGAGGCACAGGGTGGATGTATTGAATGTCCAAGGAAGTCACCAAATATGGTCACTTGCCCCATAAAGGGTTAAACTATGCGCTCTTATTTTCCAGAAAACAACATGTATTCTCCCGCTCTGATATAACTGTGAAACTCAACACTTCTCAGACTGCTGGGCTCTGACCAGTCCTCACTGAGGTCCAGTCCTCACTGAGGGACATTTTGGCTCAAACCAACGGACGGTGTTGAGCCAAAATGGCACATTGATCTGCCGTAACCTTGTCAGAGTGACGGCAACGGAGCCATTGATCAGCGTGATGCAGCACAGCAGAGATGATCAATGAAGCACAACGCTGTGATGAGTAAAGCCCACCTTACCTCTGTTAACCCCCGACACCTCGTCTCAACAATGGTTAACAAATGTGTCGTACAGTAACTGAAGTAATGTGCAAACACAATGCAAAGTTATCTTTTATCACCCATTTACATATACCAGCAGATGTAATAATAAAACAATTTTCAAAATTTAAGATAAAATAAAAAAGATATTTTGGAATTTATATGTGATAAATGATTATCAGTAAGCAAAAGTGGCATTATTTGTGTAATCAATACCACACTTGTGTTTCAACATACTTTTTACCACTACAATAGTTTAAATGTATTATTATCCAGAGTTCCATGTTTATAGATTTAACAGTAATAATTACAATTAAGAACTAAAAATAACAGCATTAAATTGCAAAGGTTTTTTGTAAAGTTCTGCACTTTTACAATTCAGTTCTGAACTTTTCGTGCAAATTAAAGACTTGTACGGTGCAGTTTTCGTCACCTACATTTTTATGAAATAACTTAACTGCACCTGTAATGATTATCGTTAAAAAATAACCACTAACATACTGTAGATGTTAATGACACCAGACAAAATAAGCTCTATTTTGACCCAATACAATATTAAAATGCTTCTTACATGGTATTAAGTCTGAAATATACATATTACTGAGACCAGGCTGCACTATAGTCAATATTTTCAGATACTTTGTGGACAAAACTTAAAGGTTTGAATGCTGGCATTTTATTTTAAATAAAGTTTTTTTTTTATACTGATGTAAAAGATCTGAAAACTTCTTCCATTACTGCTGATTGATATTCAGACTGATGCAAAATTGAACTCAGTGTTTTCAGTAAAAATTAAAGGTTTGACAATATAGTTGTGCTTGTTTGTACTAATAATTGAACCACTGCGCTACATAAATTCAAGGAAATGAAAATGACGATGAGCGTTCTGTGGCATCATGTACAAATATTTTACATATAACGTCCTCAACATGTCAGAAAATACTACACTGTTGACTTGTCATTTATATTTCAGTGGCTAAAACAAATGTGAATAATCAAGTAATGAAGAGAGACACTGATAGCCCAAAAATGTTTTATTAAATTCAAAATCACCACTATAATGAAAAGTGAACCCTCCATTCACTTCAATTGTAATTTCATAAACAATCTCTTAAATACTAGCCACAGAAGCAGCTTCAATCTAACGTAGTTGGAGTCCTTTGGGTGCTGACGGTCGTGTAGATCCTGTGTCCACAGTATCACTGAAATCAAAACCTTTCTGCATGTTGTTGTAGCGGCAGGCTGAACCAAAGAGGCTCGCGTCTCCAGAGACGCTGCACTGCACCTCAAACAACCACTTCCCCACAAGAGGAAATGAACTTTGTGAGTCCGCAAGAGGTAAAAGAATTAAAAACGGTTGACTGATGGGGGGGGAGAAAAAGAAGAATTTATCAGTTTGCTTCGTTCTTTGAGGCTTCGTCAAAGTTCTCCACAAGATCTGGAAGACAGAAAACGACAAAGAAAATCAGGGTTTTGTTCTGAAAGCAGACTGTGAGAGAGTTTTATCCTTTATTTAAGAAAAAAAAAACACCCCATTGTTTCTAATATTTTACAACTGACTTGTGAAAATGAATCTTTCAAAGAACATTTATTCCCAAAAAATAATTAATAACAGTAGCTTCACCCCAAAATGGTGTCATTTTGGATACAGACTTCATATAATCTACAAATGTGATATTTTAAAGAGGAAGTGTGAAGTCTGTTGTACGGTCGGCCCTACAAGCCAAATAAACAACACTTAAACTTCACAATTAAAACCATGTGCATCCCTACCTGGTACATCGTCGTCCTCTTCTTCTGCAGTTTCCTCCTTGACCGCTTTCATGTCCATTGCTGCTAAAATAAAATCCAAATGCAAACTTAATCAAGAGCAACGTTCTAAATTGTAAATTCTTTTAATATTTCTGCACACTTATGAGAAGTTTCTTATCAAACGATTCTGAGGTATTTTATTGTGAAATTCTACAACTTTGGCTTTATTTTCATTGAGTGAATTCATCGCTCTGACCCAGAAAGTGAATTCCTTTTACGATTCTCCTGTTCTGCTATTTTTCTGCTAAAACAACAATCCGATCTGCCGTGACCTGATCAAAGGCGACGTAGCACTAAAAAGTACTTTTGTGGTGTTTTGTCAGGTGCTGCTCTCGCTTTGGACTCTGCACAATTTTGCATCACCTGATTAGTTGTGTTTCCGAGTGGAAAAGCTGCTCTACGTTTGCCTCGCTGGGTTTATTTTCCTCTACATGCACACGTCAAGGGCAACCAGTTCGCACTGAGCCATCCTGACACTCCGGCTGTGTGCTGGACTTGGACTGGAAGATATCAGCATCTTCTGAACAATCATTCGACTCTCTGAATGCTCATATTCGATGTGTTGTCGTTTTCCCCTCCTTCACCACAGTTCCTGCGTTTTTTCTCGCTGCTGCAACCGGTTCCTCGAGGTCACGTTTAATCTCCACTGATTCTAAACAAACAAAACACTGCTGCACAAACCTGCCGCGAGTAAAGCTGTGCGAGTACACAAACACGCATGAGGCAGAATATTCAGCCGTGTGTTGAGCAACTTCAACCACCAGCTGTTGCTGCTGAGTCAGTAAGGTGTGGACCCGGAAGAGCTGGGCGTCTGGAAGCAGATCCACGCTTTTGATTCAACCAGAATAATGAAGAAAGTTTTATTTCTATTCTGCCTATTGGTTCTTAAACAAATGTCACTCGTGCTAGTGTTTATAATACTAATGCAACCTGTGATCTGTCTGTGCCATTAGTCCTACGAGTTGACTGCCATCTTGGCCTGATGAAATCGAACATTGTTTTCATTTAGCCAACTCAACAGTTGCTTGATTAGTACTTCAACAGCACAAATTGTATAATTGTCATGTAACAATCACCTTAATTTAGTAAATAATGTTCTACAAATGCTTTCCAAGAACGAGATTGGACTCGGCTATTATTACAGTACAGTCGCTGAAGCAAACACAACAACATAAAACAGAAAAGAGACCAACATCACTGTGATCACTTATTATTAGTTCATCCATCAGTGTTTCATAAAACTCTGCCATGAAGGACACATGAGGACACTGTGGACCGTATAAATATTATAAACATAAGTCATGGAAAAGTATCTGTCCCTCAAAAAAATCTGATAATATTGAGAATCGATAAGCAGATACCCAAACCTACAACAGCGAGACCTGAGAGGTGTACGATCACTTTTTCCTTCCACAGAAGAACGATAACGAGGTGCAGACGGACCGTTCTGTGCTGCAGAACGGTAGAACACTAACAGTACATTAGATTAGATCTTCAATCTCCTTTGTTGCAGAGCTCACCAGAGAAAGAGATGGAACGAAGATTTCATCTCAATCCATTTGTTGTTTGCCTTTTTGTTCCGTTTCATGCATTATTCTTTTAGTTGGCTTTGTGTTTTCTTGTGCTTGTTTTTGTTTTTTTGGCTGCCTTAGATGTTTGTGACATTTTAGAGTTTGTTTTCTATCAGTAAAGTCTTGCTGAATACAAAAATGACTTCAGTTATGTCGTCAAATATTCTTTTCTGCGCATAACTTTTGTTTTATATTAAAAATAGACTGTCAAAGATTTTTGTACTTCTGATAACGACAGATTTAAAAAAGCTCCTGTGTGTGTTTTCTTTTACTATCCTACCCAGCCATTGATAAAATAAAGCTATTTTCCTGAGTTCTTAACCTTCTACTGAAAATGATTCATATTACACGACCTCAGAGAGCCCTGACATTGTGGCGGCGAGTGTTTTTAAGCCCGTGTGTTTGTCAGTGTCTACTCACATTGCCGTGGGAACTGCTCGGCCAGCTTGCGCAGGCTGCTGAGGCTGTCGGCTCCCAGCTGGCTCAGGATGCCTGGCAGCATCTCTGTCAGCTGTTTGGTCTCGGCGTGGCCCGTGATGGCGAAGGTGTTGGCAGACAGAGACGCCTGAACTTTGGGGTTGTTGAAGTGAATCACCGTGCCGTCGTCTTTTATCATGTTCACCTGAGAGGAAAAAGGAATCAATCTGGATGAGAGTCTATCCTGATGCGGGATTCTGCACCGTGTCTGCAGTGAATTCCAAAATTATTTTTAGCGCCTGTTCTGGAAGTGAAAGTGATGCATGACACGGAAAACACAGCTTCTGAAACGGGCAGCTAACCAAGTAGTATAACTCACAGGGCTTTAAAGGCTGAAAATGCAAACATGTATTTGCCATAATTATCTTAACAATCTCCTGTAACGAACGCCACACATTGAGCCACGACATGAGCCAAAACAAATGTTGTGCATCAGTTTAGTGTCTCTTTCTGTTTGTGCTCTGATGCAACCGTGGTGAGTTCTCTTTAGCTGAAAGCTCTCTAAAAATAAACCAGATGATGACATGAACGGAGGGAACGCTTTACTTAGGCGCTCCCTGTCTTTTATCTTTCCTTATGCCTCATGACATGGCAATGATAAAAGATTCAGGAATCTGAGACAAAATAAAAAAAATAAAAAATCACAACAGTACAACAGTGACATCGGTTCGCCTTTGATAGCTCACCTCTTCTATCCCTGCGATGTTGTTCACTGCCAATTTCTTCAGCGAGCCTTGGAGTTTTTTGTCATCAGCTGTTGCCGTTTTGTGAACAACCTTTTTCTTCCTGCGGGCCGTTCCCTGAGGACAGACAAACAGGTGTTGGTGTCGGGGAAAAAAAAAGGGGAGATCAGACAACCGGGATGTCAAACACAGTTAAATACCACCGGGTCACACTTGGCGTCCTACCTTGGATTTATAATTTATGAATTTCTTGACAAGCGGTTGTGGTGAACTACTTACAAACACAAGACTTATTTAAACACAACAAATGACGAAGATCTGTGTTGTAAATGTAATGTTGGCATCGCATCAGTTAGAGATGACTAGTGCCACAAATTTGTCCTTTAAATTCTTATTATTATTTTTTACATCAATCAAAGGAAATGTACAACTGGAATAAAAACAGCAGGAAGCCCCGTTTAGATGTGACCCTTGTGAAACTAAAAGTAGGTGCTTTTGATGCACAAGTAGGCAAAATACTGTCCACAAGAAAGGGAAGTGGATATTCAAAAAGCTTTGCTACAGAACAGAAGGTCAGAAATAACTTTATTGTTGTGGCTGCATAATCAGACGCCTTTTTTTTAAACATAAGATAAAGAAAATAAAGCTAAGTGTTGTAGCTTCAGTTTGTTTCAACACTTTGTTTTTTGTCATTTGCTTTTACTCAACTGGATATTTAGAGCACAGATTCAACTTCACAGTATCTGGGACCTCCTGGTAAAGAACCAGTCAAGTAAATCAACTTGTATTTAAGAACATGAATAACTGCAGTTACACAGACAATATTATTTCAGCTTGATTCAAATCATTCTGATCAGAGATTCCAACGTTATAGTTTCCATGAATGTTAAACAAAATGATCCAATGAAATGTGCCTCTACATGATTCAGAACAATTAATGGTAAATGGACTGCCCTTATAACTTAAATAGCACTTTACAATGTTTTCTCATTCACACACACATTCACACACCAATGGCGACAGAGCTTTGGGGAGCAACTTCAGGTTCAGTGTCTTTCCCAAGGACACGTCGACTGTGGAGGGATCAAACCGCCAACCTTAAGATCAGAGGACAACCGCTCCACCACCTGAGCCACAGCCGCCCTTAATCAGGATATATATTTTTTCTGACATGCGTTAAGTGGTTCTGCTCACTCTGAAGGCTCTAATCTGTTTTTATTTTATTAGGAAAATGTAATTAATCCAATTCAAGAAAATTACCAAGGTGTACCCACAACATATCACTGGACCAATTTTTGGATTTCTCTTTTTAATGAAGCAGCACATAGCTCTTCTGCAACCTGTAAATAAGACGGACAGTGCAAGTGGATCTTTACAGCTCATCAAGAACAGTAAACTTGGTGCCTGTTGCTCCGCCAAAAACTACTGGATGAAAGTCCAACGCAAGGACTGATGGGAGAGAATGATTCTGACAGAGTTCACCAATCAAAGAATGGAGCAACGGGCAGAAACAATTATTCCAACTATAATGGTTAAGAGGCGGATCATCTAAGGGTTTGCACTACCTCTGAATCCGAGTGAATTTTGTTCCCCAATTTTGCCAGTCTGTTTCAACTGAGGTGGTTCTATGAGGAGTTTTCTTGCTCTGTGGGCTGCCATTGAGATCATTAGTGGAGGATGAAGCATTGACACTTCCTCAGTATCAATAACAAAACTGTTTAATAGAATATTTAAAAGTTTTACTAAAATGCATCAGCATCAGTTTTATGCCAAGTAAGTTTCACATACAAGGAATTGGATTTGGCCTTTTTGGAGCACCACAATAAACACCAACAAGCAGAGAGTTTTTCAAGAAGAATAAAAAGATCTGAAAGAAAAAAAGTATGTTTTGCAATAGAAAGTAAGAGAACGTGTTCCAAGACAAATAAACAGCAAGTGTAGGGAATCCTGAGAATTTTAAGTTACAAAAACGTGAATAGAAAGGTTTACAATATGCAGGAATGTGCAAATTATTCACCTAAGAACGTGCACATTTACAAAACAGAGATGCAATAATAAAGGAGCTCGTTCGCCTTCTGTTGCTTTCCCCGTCACTTCCATGCAAGTCTCTCTAGGCGTGCTAGTCCACAACCTTCTACCCAGACCTGTTCTAGCGGAGGCTGCGGTTGATAGGGAATGGTGGCAGGGAATGGGCTTCATTGTCCAAAAAAAAAGAAGAAAAAAAAGCTCATAACCTTGTATCACCCTCCACCTCCACGTAAGAGACACAATCTCAGTCGGCTGCTTCGAGGGACTCAGTGTTGTTGTGCAGAAGGAGGCCGGTGTGTGGTTGCCATCTGGTGATATCTGGTTGTCTTAATGGTAACTCAGGTTTTACTTGCTTCCTTTACAATTAATATACATTAAGATGAGATCAGTCCTGTATCTTTTATTCTTATTTATGTGTGCGTCTGTCGCTGTAGTGTTGACATTAGTATTATTACCTGTGCACCTTAAACGTAAAATGAACATTTAAAGTGACACATTTCAAAGTAAGGAGGTTAAAATGTTTTCTCCTGGTGTTGATTGAGAATCGGTGATTAAACTCAGCAATGATTGAAAAATGGAAATGTAACATTTTAGTGTGATGAACTTTTTAGCTGAAGTGTCTCGTCCATGTAAATGCAGCGAGTGTGGTGTGATCTGAGGTGGGGGGGAGGAAGCACAAGGGCTCTCACTGCTGCAAAAACAACAAATAACGCCACCTAGTGTGTGGCTGAAGTCCTCACAATGAATCTGAACAAAGCCACACGAATGAAGGGACCCTGAGCATAAAAGGACTGCTGAGGTCAGGAGGAAAGACCTGGCAGACCCTGAATGCCATCACCCTCCTTAAAATGACACGCAACTGAGCCAACAACACTGATGGGAAGTTAAACGATGAACATTTGTCAGCATGACTGCAAAAACAAACAACAGAAGAAATATAACAGTAATAAAGTGTACCTTTCCTCCTATCCGGACCTGCGCCTGGAGTTTGGCGAGTTTCTCTTGATTCATAGTGTTCTGATCTGTAAAATAAATGTAAAGAAAAGAAAAGAAAAAAACACTGTTAGCATTATTTCACCCACGTGCTTCTCACACAAGAGCCAAAGAAAACACGTTTTCCACAGATCAGGTTGGGGAAGAGCATGTGGTTGCTGCCATACAATGGTCACAGCAGGAGTTAGGTAATAGGAGCTGCAATAATCCTCGTCTTCACACGTTAGCAACAAGCTAACCCACTGCTAACAGATAAGCTGACAGCCACACCGAACCGAACGAAAATGCCGACCAACATGAAGTGAACACGACAAAGAAAAGTATGCGAAGTGTGTAGTTTCAAAGTTATATTTATGTCTAAAGCCAAGTATAGCTAGTTAGGCTGCTAGCTCGGAGGCTAATGCAGCTAATGCTAGCACTGTGGCTAAAGAAACAAGCTACACCAACTTGCTATTTGGTCTTTGTTGCTCTTGATATCTAGTTAACTTCAAATGACACGATAAAACAATTCGTTTCAGTTAAATATGATGAAATAAGCTATTTTTCGCTTACCTGTGATAAAGTATTAGGTGACAGTCCCGTTAAACTGCTCTCGCTACAAATGAAGCCGCAAAGCTGAAAGCAGCGTCAAGACAGCGGCAATAAGACACACTTCAGAGAGGGATTTTCACAATAAGAGATTTACACACGTTATACCGGGAGCGTTGTAAGAATCTCGAAAAACTATTTAGCAATATTTTTTCAGATTTTAACCTGATAAATGCATTTTATGTTATTATTCATGTTATTTTTCACCCAAATTATCTTAATTTGCTTTCAAACAATCCTTTTACATGCTTGATCTTGTACAATTGAACCTCAAAATCATGATGTGTCACTGAAATCCCTTCATTGCTAAATGTCACGTTTAAAAATTCTGCAAAAATAAACCATTTGCACCAGATTATCTAACATACCAACACAACAAAATCTACATTCTTTGGTGCAACCTTAAAGCCATTTGTGACTAAAATTCAGACAATATTTGGCTGAACTGCAGGCAGAGCTGATAGGAGACAAGTATGGAAAGAAATGAGAGCGACTGGGAGAGAGAAAAATGTATTTGATCAATAAAGTAAATACAGCACGGTACAAAAACAGTACACAGAGCAGCAAGTTATTGGAAGATACATGCAGCATGATAAACTATCTTTGTAGAGCTGGTGTGCAAAAAAATGATTTAGCTTCAACTTAATTGGCATTGCACAGAGTACAAGTACCAAGACAACAAAATGCAATTTAGCTTTAACAAGATGTGCAAAACAAGCAGTAAAAGTGCAGTGCAATGTCAAATGTCCAAGTGGCATAGCTGAAAAAGCAGTAGGAATGTGGTAAGATTTACTCAGGTTGAGCATTCTTAATGGTATAAACAGTGCATGTGAGTATACAAGATATATGTTTATCTAAGATGTATTGTATGCATTGTGTACTCAGAATGGGTATATGTAATATATGTGATACAGTATGAACAGAATGAATAATATAAACAGATTGGTATGAACACACTTAGTATATGAATAGAATAAACTGTAATAGAAATGTGCTTGATAAATAATAATAAAAAGACAGATATATATGTCAAGATAAAGAAAGACATTAACGACATATGAGCAGTAGATATGAAAAGCAAGACTTTGACAGTATATACACAGTTGGGACAGTGTGGTGTTTAATCTGTACAGAAAGAAATACCTAGTTTGTAGATGTAAAAATCTAAGTAGTAAATTATCTATGGCATATAGAGCCATTTGCGCTTTCTGTGTGATCTATGACATTTTAACTTTGTTCAAAAGGAGATAAGACGTTTTTGAGTTCTCTTTACTTCTTAACATGGTTGTGCTGTTTTTTTATAGAGGTGCAGACGTTGAATTGCAGTGACAAATGAGCCCACAGTGAGCAAAAACGACCCAAGAGCTTTTAAACTTGAGTTTTGGTGCATGTTTCCGGTCTGTTTGCCAACATGTCGTCGTCTAACTTGACCATGTGACGAAGCAGCGGAGCACGCGGCTGTGTGGATGTGACGTCGTGTGACGCTGGCCAATAGGAGGGAACGCTGTGAGACGTAGCGGTTGAACTTCCGGGTCACTGGTTAACTCAGCAGTCACTGCCGTTAGCCGCTAACGAGGGAGAAAAAAATCCGGTCAAAATGAAAACCTCTTTAGTAAATGTCGCCGTTTTCTCGTTCCTGCAGGTTTTATTGTCACTGTCGGGTTTCCAGGAGGTCGTCGAGGCCGCCAGCGGGAGAGGTGAGCTCACATTCGAGGGTGAAAGTTTGATTTAGAGCAGGGCTTCTGTGTGAAGCTTCATTGACTGTTTGTGTAGCAGAGCAGAGCTAGCTGGCTTTGTGTCAGTATCCTGGATCTAAAGTCAGTGTCCTGTTCAGGTAGTTCACACCGAAGGGGTGTGTTTTTTAACCTGTCTTGGATTAATAATGTCTAGTTTTTCCAAGTTACCTTAACCAACTTATTTTTGCTGTTGACACTCAAAATTTAGTTTAACGATTTCTCCACTGAGGCTGGATTGAGAAAACTTCAGCCTGTTCTCACCAATAAGGAAGTGCTTTGTGTCAGTGGGATCAAAAGTCTCTGTAAGATTAAAAAAATAAAACATTCATACATAAATAATGTAATTAGGAACTGTGCAGAAAGGTGAATTTGTGTTGCTTAAAAGAAAAAAAGTAATCAGTGTTACAATTAACGCACTGACATGTGGAGTATTTCTGAAAAACAACAACATGTGCTGTGTTCAAAGTTGTAAATATGTCAATGATATCGATGCTGCTAAGGATTTTTCTACTGATTTGTACAATTATTTTTATTTAAATGCCATAATGTCCATCTTGAAATGTTCAACTCTTGCTGACTTGAAATTACGCTTTGTTTTTTTGCTGATCAATATTTAAGCAACTTTACAACTAGGGCTGCAATTCTGAATATTTTCATCACTGATTATTTTACTGATTGCTCGATCAGTTGTGGTGAAATGGTGAAAAATGTCGATCAGCATTTCCCGAAGCCCAAATGAACAAATGTGTTCTTTTGTCCAACATATTCAGTTTACTGTCACAGGGGAGGAAAGAAACCAGGAAATATTTAAGAAACTGGAATCCTTTTTCTTGTTGACACATTTTTGATGCATCTATAAAACACACTTCTAATTTACGCAAGAAAATAAACCAAATGGAAAAGGTTAAGTGTTAAACTGTTCTGCTTTCTACTCCAGCAGGTTTTTTTTATCTAACTGATGTTAAACCGAGTGCATTAACAGAGCGGAAGCTGATATGTTATGCAAATGAAACCCCCACCTTCAAGAAGACATTTTACTTTCGGCCTCAGATTTAATGGTTTTTGCATTTAGAGGCACTATTTCTCATTCTAATGACTCCAGTTAATGGTTTCGCTGATGCTGTTCAGCAAGATCATTTGTGCTCTCCATCACTACGTAATATAAACAACAAACACTGATTGGACTTGTGCTTTTCATAACTTTCTTTGTACTTTTATACACAATAGTCACCAGCAAATGAGCCACGTGTACAACTACATGAACATCATTTAAATGTTATGAAAAGAGATGAAGGATACAGCTTTGGTGAAGATGCATCACAATATAGTCTGTGTTGATTATTTGACTGCAGCTAACACAGTTTTAAATATCAAGTTCATCTGCCTTTTATTTTCACACATAATCAATCACTTGCCCGATAAAACGGCAGAAAAAAGTGAAAAATGCTTAATCGCAACACCTCTAGAGAGTAGATTTATAGTCATGTTAGACCAAGAAATGCCACAAATTTCTCCCATTCGAGAGCCTTGAATTTTTTCCTTAAAAATCCCATTTATTCTATTATTCAAATATTTGATTGCAGCTGGTCGTCGCAGCTCTATTCGTCTCACAGCTGCCACACAAACACGATCCAGCTGAGCGGTTCCAGGTGTCGGAGCAGCCTCGTACTGAATTACTGCCATTCAGCTGTATTTGCCGTCCTTTCCTCCCAGTTCTTTGTATTGATTCTGTATTTAGGGCAGACCCACCCCGCTGTGGAAACATAATACCGGTTACACAATGCTGGTGTGCTCATTAATTCACTCTCCCCGCAGGATTCGGAGATAACATCCACTGGAGGACGCTGGATGACGGCAAGAAAGAAGCCGAGGCCAGGTGAGCCGGCATGTTTCATTCAACACTTCCTGCTCAGCAACCTTTAGTGCCCCGAGGCCTCAAACGGCTTTTAGAAGAAAAAAAAAAACCTGGTGTCTACATTTCTGCTAAACACTGGAGCTGACACACAAAGCTGGTGTCGTTACTTAATGGTTTTTTCTCACAGAGCAGCAGGTGCAGATTTCTATGCAGTGCAGCTGAGCGGTTTAAATGTGTTTGGTTCTGGCCTTGATGTGTGTTTTCATGTGGTTGCTTTGACAGCGGGCTGCCCATCATGGTCATCATCCACAAGAGCTGGTGTGGAGCCTGCAAAGGTAAAACAATGATCGTCTCTTCAACCTGCAAGAAACTCCACTTAGAGAGGAGGATCTTCTGAAATCTTGAGTCTAAAACTAAACTCAGACTGTCCCATAAGGTCTAATTAAAGGCGTTTGGAGCGTGTTTTGTAATCTGGCGTGCCTGAAATATTTGGAACAGATAAACAAAGCCAGCAACATGTTTCCTGCCTGAACATGGCTTCACACTAGAAACACTGCTGGAGGGGTTTGAACATAAAAGCAACTTGGGTGCATAATTAAACAAGCACAAGGTGTTGATTCATTGTTTTCAACTTCTACATAGTGCACTGTGATATAAGATAAGATAAGCCTTTAACGATTCCACAGCGGGACATTTGCAGTGTTATAAGGGGAGAGTGCAAATGTGTAGAAAACTTGAGCAGAACAATAAAAACTAAACAAGAAAATGTGGAAACTCACATATTGCACATCCGAGGGCCGAATATCCGAGTATTTGAATATTCGGTCGCTGTGCTAGTATCAGGATAGCAATCTTGATCTCCGAATATTCGCAGAAACAGTCATGTGATGACCGCTAACCTAAACACCTCCACTGGTCTTAGTAGCCAAATGCTGCCTGTGCGTCCCGCCCACTTCCAGCCCATCGGAGCGTGTGCCACCATCAACCACGAATCGTGATTGAAAAGAATAATTTAAATAAAACTACCAAAACTGTCCTGGACAAATTAGAGCACTTTGCTGATGAGCAGTGGGTCAAAATCTAAACACCTGTCAACAGGTGCAGACGTCTGATTGAGAGTTACAGAAAACACTTGATTGCAGTGATTGGCTCAAAGTGTTGTTCAACAAAATATTAGTTTACGGGTCCCATCATCAGTGACAGCTGTTTTTTTCCTCCTTTAAAGGGAGAGTATGAATAAATTTGACGACGACTGTAGCTAGCTTTTACCGTAGCCTTTTTCGTGAAGACTTTTTAATATGAAGTAATGGAAACGTGGTGGTTCAACAAAATATTAGTTTACGGGTCCCATCATGCTTGTTTGTTTGGGTTTTTTAAAAAAAAAATATTTCTGCTGAACCACAATTCAAAAGCAATGTCATGATTTTCATTAAATTTGTATTTATTGCTTTTGTCAGTTTCAGCTTATTTCAATGACAGCTGTGTTTTTCCTTCTTTATTTGAGGACGACTGTATCTGTATGTTAAGAACAATAATATTGCACAGATTGTTGTACAGTTAGAGGTTATTATTGTACAGTTTTTAAACACGGTATGTTCATAAAACACATCTTTGAAAGTGTTGATGTTGTTCTAAAGTGAAATAGTTTTTCTATGTTGTTATGTCAGTGTAATAAAGTCATCATATCGTCTTAATAACTGTTAGGATGCTTTTTTAGATGTCAGTGTACGATAACTGTTCATTGTATTCTTGTTTTTTATATTTCAGCACTGAAGCCCAAATTTGCTGAATCCAAGGACATCTCTGAACTGGCACACAACTTTGTGATGATCAACCTGGAGGTGAGGAAACGTTTTGTTTTTGATGAACTCCGATTTCTTTATTGTGTATTTAGCTGATTCTTTCTCACGTTGCCAGTAACATGTTGCTTCAACTGGCTTGTAAATGATTATTTTTTCTCTTATTTGAACAGGACGAGGAGGAGCCAAAGGATGAAACCTTCAGCCCAGATGGTGGATACATTCCTCGGATTCTTTTCCTCGGTGAGAAGGGGGTTGAGTCACCTTTCTGTGTAAACACTGTTTGGGAGTCCTTTGGAGAGACTGATTGAACAGCTACAGTAACTGAATGATGTCTGATTGTAGGCATACACTGAGCGTGTGCAGCACAGGTTTACAAATCCATCCATCTATTATCTATATTCAGCATCTCCTCTTTTGATCCCAGATTGTCTCCATGATGTTGAGATCACAGAAAACAGCGTTTACGTTCCTGGTTGGATGTTAGGTCTCGTTGTTCTGCTGCAGAATGAATGTAGATGAGTTGATGCTGCAGGATGGATAAACATCTGAACTGTCTGAAAGCTGAAATCAAGGACGAGTAAATTCACTGCAAAGTATGAAATAAACAGCAGGTAGAAACAGTCACCCTGGAACTGTGTTACTCCACCATGTAGAATGTTAAAATACTGTCACACAACTTTAGGTTTGGTTACAACTCTCAAACACTTTCAACACTATACTGAAGATAATCTATTAAATCCAGTTATCTTTTAATTAATAGCTTTTTTTCAAGATAACGTGACCTGAATGACTGATAAAATGTTCGTAGATGATTTATCCAGTAGCCAAGTGACACAAAAAATGACTTGCAGCAATTTTAATTATTCAAGAAAAGTTGTCTGAAGTTTACAGTCTGTCCAATGAGAATATTTGGAGCTTTAAATGAAATATCTTTGGATTTGTAAAAGTTGAAACAAGAAACACAAGACAAGAAAATGCTTCTCTTTTTTTAAAATCAAAGAGAACTTTTGCCTTCTTCAAAAATGTACTTTTGGTCTGATAATGCTGCACATTTGAAAAGAACAACGTGGCCTGTGGGTAGACTAAACAAATAACTGTGTGTTCGTTAGGTTTTAATGTGAACTGAGCTGGTCTCTCTGCATCAGCTCATTCTGTCGTATGTAATGGTTTGGCTGCACCTCCATAAGGAGTAAAACACTGTGGCTTGTTCGTATTTATTTAAACCGGTCACAGTGAACATGCACTGGGATCAACAACGGATGCAGCTTCTGTTTACCTTAAAACACTGACAGGTGGAAATGTTTTGGTGGAACATTTGCTTACAGGAAGACGAGCACCGTGATTAAAATGGATAATTAACAAAAAAATGTGTCTAACCCGCTGCAAGGATTTTCAGTTTGCAGGTTGCTGCTCTGAGTTGTTTTTTTCCTTGTAGTGACATAAAAAGGTAATATGCAGACAGTCCAACCAGAAGTGAGCTAAGCAGTGATTCAATTCTTCTTGTTCCTCTCACAGATCCCAGCGGCAAAGTCCATCCTGAAATCACCAATAAAAACGGGAACCCCAACTACAAGTACTTTTACAGCAATGCAGAGCAAGGTAGCAGTCCAGATTCTTCTTCTTCTTCTTCTTCTTCTTCTTCTTCTTCTCCTTCTCCTTCTCCTTCTCCTCCTCCTCCTCCTCCTTCTTCTTCTCCTTCTCCTCCTCCTTCTTCTCCTCCTCCTCCTCCTCCTTCTTCTTTACCCCATCCTCCTCCTCCTTCTTCTCCTTCTCCTCCTCCTTCTTCTTCATCTTCTCCTCCTCCTTCTTCTTCTTCCTCCTCCTCCTCCTCCTCCTCCTTCGTCTTCTCCTCCTCGTCCTCCTTCTCCTCATTATCATCATTATCCTGTTAATGTGTGATTTTTACCTGCTGGCTCCTTCAAAATAAAAGCTGGGATCAGATGAAGCTCACTAACGTCGGCGTATGTTTTCTGCTCCTCAGTCGTGTCCGGCATGAAGGAGGCTCAGGAGAAGCTGACGGGCGACGCCTTCAAGCAGGGCCACACCGGAGACGAGCTGTGAGGAGGCAGCGACGGGCATCAGGCTGTAAGGGCTACACTTCCTCCACCGGAGCGTCAGGGCTCCCACAAAACAAACCCCTTACTCTATTTATACACTGCTCAGTGGGGTGCAGCTCACTGACTGAACCAAGCCAACCCTTAGAGGCGTCTTAGAGGTGCTTCAGTATTTCTTTCTTGTCTCGTACGGTTTTCTCCAACACACTCCTGTTTTTAACCATGTAAGCTACTCCTCTAAATGCCATATTACTGTACTTCCTGTCTGTAGAGGACGCAACCGACTCCAGCTCGCCACGTTAACTGCCGTCTGTTATTAACTCTCACTCGCTGTTCACCTTTTTAATATGCCAAGTTTTTAACAGAGCAAAAATGCTTTGTTTGATTACACTTTTTTGGTTTCCAGGAGTTTCACAAATACATGTAGAGCAATGTTAAGTTGCTTCAGTTAAACCACTCGTTCACAGTTTCGCCCAGCAGCAAAGATCCAGGATTTCATGTTAATATTTTAACACCTACAGTGATGTGCTTCCAAAGATCCTCTACAGTACGTTAGTTATATCTGTGACAATACTCATCGTGTACTTCTGATTTTTATTCACTGTCTTTTAAATAATAATTCTTCATTTATTCCTGCCAAATTTCTGTATAGTTATTCTATATCTACCTTTTGTTCTGCTGCTCGTGAAGTGACACCACCCCTCGTTTTTTTTTTACTGGCCTTGTTAAAACTCTTTAAATGAGGGATGGGAACATTGGTTAAGTGTCCTGATGTATTTTATACATGTACACGGCCAAGTGTGCAAATAAAGTTTGTTGTATTGACTAACCGTGAGCCAGATGCATTCATGACACAGCGGTGATAATAACAGTATATCAAATTTTATTGTATATGCACAGTAGTGATCCCTTATGGTTTGTCAAACGATACGCAACTGCCGCAAACAGTTACCGCAGGAGGACATGAATCAAGTCGCTATTTTAAATTCAGTTTGACAGTGAGATAGTGCAGTTACATCAATGCAAGTGCATTTATTTAAGACATCAGATTGCAGTTGATCCCGTTCCAGACACAGAGTGGCTTTCATGCCGAGCCACGTCTCTGTAAAATGTCTTGCAGCATAATGATTTTTCATGATAAAATAAATTACAGGAGGGGGAGAAAAAAAAAATAAGCCGTGCATTTCTACATATGACTCATTTCTTGACATGTTAACAGACTAAAGGAACGGAGAAACTTAAGGAATGTGTGTCGTCAACTTGGCTAAAGGCATTTAGAGGAAAAACACAAAACTCTGTGTGTTGCTCAGTCTCTCTGATGGATGAAGGCTCAGGCACAGAGAGGAAAACATGATTAGCAACGTGGCCGGAGCTGACGTTTTTCTATCATTTGAAAGATCTCAAAAGAAATAACAAGGTAGCTGGAGAGAGAAATATTGCTACAATTGCTATAATTACGCTAATTACACAATGCTGCTGCTGTAAAATCAGCAGCACTTTCACATATAAAAAAAGAGACTATAAAAAGCTGTGTAGTACATCTCTATATTCAAAATTACACAGCTATAAAGTGTGATCAAAACTTTTAAATTTAAGGTTGTGCACGTACCATTTCTAACCAGTGTGACAGACCCCTGTTGACTAGACTTGCTGTTCTGACTGACAAACAGCATCATGAGCTTTTAAATGCAGCTATTGTGTCTCCGAGGTGGCGTACAAAAGGTTGATACAACATCTGGGATTAATCACCAACTCTTCAGCACGCTGGAGGCAGGTCCTGTGCTGGAAACTGCATTCCACATTTCATGGATATCTTTACAAGATTACACCAAAGCGCTGACATGCTAAATTCCTTGCGGAGACACACTCGACTTAAGTCAGCGCTTAGAGACGCTCGAGCCAAGAGCGAAGCTACGCCTAAGAACAAAGTGATGGTAAGAACACTTCAGCCACCCCGACAGTGCTGGTTGAAGTTTGTCCAGTTGGCTTCTGAGGGTATTAGGAGGTGAATTCGGGAAGGGGTGGTTATTTATGGGTGAATGTATGTGCGGGGCAGCAGCAGACTTAAAGTCTTCCCTGCTTGGCGTCTCCGATGGCGCCCCAGACGTCAAAGACGAACTCGTCGGGAAAGGCGAAGTCTCCGAGGGTCTCGTCTAACGCCATGGCGAATTCATCCGGGTTCTTCTTGTCACGGCCGACCTCGACCATCGTAGCAGCTGCAGAGAGAAGAGCAGACACTTCACTACTGGAATAACTGAAGCTTCAGCTCATCAAACAAGCCGACATCCCGACTTTCAAAGAGTAATTTTCATTGGTGCTGGTACTAATCGTGTGGCAAAAAAAAAAAAATCGTGACATTTCATCAAAACCCCTTTATTCTACGGCTCATTTAAAAATTCCTGAAAAAAAACCCTTTGCACAAACTAGATTCTACAAAAAATGTTAAATACTGTGCTCTTTGGCACAACTAAAATTGTGATATTTAATTAAATCACTATTCTGTCTTATTCAAAATGAACCTTTTTGCACAAACCAGACTGCAAAAAAGAAATTAAAAAAAAAATTATATGCTCCTCAGCACAATAAAAATCATATTTCAGATTTATTCTGTCTCATTTAAAATTGACCAAAAACCAAAAAATTCTGTGCTCCGTGGTGCAACCCTAAAGCCACTAGTAGCTCCGCTGAAACCAACAGTCATGTGACAAAAATTCAGTGAATTTTTAGGTGAACTGGGCTGAACTGCAGGCTGTGTTTACACAGAGCACATAGGAGATAAGTATGGATGCTTAGATAAGTAATAAAATATCTGGAGTATGTCGTATTTGTAAAATGAATAGTCAAAAAGCGTGGAGTCTCCATGTTCTCCCCGTGCAGCGTGGGTTCTCTTTGGGTTCTCCGGCTTCCTCCCACACAGTCCAAAAACATGTTGAGGTTAATTGGTGATTCTAAATTGTCTGTAGGTGTGAATGTGAGTGTGCTTGGTTGTCTGTCTCTAAGTGTGGCCCTGTGATAGACTGGTGACCTGTCCAGGGTGTCCCCTGCCTTCACCCTGAGTCAGCTGGGATAGACTCCAACCCCCCATGACCCTAGTGAGGCTTAAGCGGTGAATAGATGATGGATGGATGGAATAGTCAAAAAGCTCGACCTCTGTTTTTTCTTTTTTATGATTTAAGTCATTACTTCTTTTGTTCCACGACACAAAATACATTTCTGAGTTCTCTCTACTTCTAGCCATAGTTGTGCTGTTTCCATAGAGGTGCAGGACTTCATACTGCAGTGAAAAACAAGAACATAGTGACTAAAAATGTGACAGAAGCAAAAACACTGGGGTTCAGACGGTTAATTAATCTTACATGAGACACAGCTCTCTGTTTGGTCACACAGCGTTCGCTATGCAAACATTTTCATTTTTTATCTGTTCCTGCTCTCACACATTTGTACCGTCAGTCCTGAATAATTCAGTGTGAGTCAATGTTTAAATCCAATATTCCCCCAGACTGCAGCAGCCACTGCCACAGCCCCAACTGCAGAGGAGAGCAGAACAATAAATTAACGTTTTGCTTTTTTGTCTAGAGTTTCGAGGAAAACACTCAGCGTGAGGCCACAGATAATAAAGTCTAAACCTAAACACGAAACCTGGACCTTCACCCATTTGATCTTTGACTCTTCATTAATAATAATGAAAACACTGCATGCATTTCACAGTGGCGCTTTGTGAACCCTTTAGAATCAATATTTTGAGGAAAATGATTACATTTCATGTCTGGAATTAGAATTAGGTGTTTTCAATCAATAGGATGACAAATGGGTGGAACAATGTGATGATCAAGGATAATACTTTTGTTTTATTTATTTAATTGGATTCTGTTTATCTGCTTGTATTTGATCATGTTTATGTCGTGCTTATGCAGAAGTATAGAAAATCCAAAACTGTCAAGCACCACTGCACATCTTACTAAACGAAAACTAAAGTGGTCTCATGCCAGAGTCCTGCAATAAACTGCACGATCATTTGGAAGCTATAATTCAACAGGTGCTGTTGAATTGTGTTGCACTGTCCTGATTTTTTCCGTCTTTGTTTATATCATTGAGGTTAGGTTGAGTAAGAGAAGCACCTCTCTGTATAAGCCAATACAGTCAACACAGTTCAACAAACTACAGCCTTTAAAGGGCTCAGTGCCTTTCATAAAACCTTGAAGAAGGTTGTTTTTATTTCTGCTTTACTGCAGTAGCAGGGCTTAACTATACTCTCCTGGTAATGAAATTACTTGCACCGTAGCCGACCCTTATGTACCCAAAGATGCAAAAAGTCTAACACTAGATTTTGACTGCAGTACCTTTAACTAGGTGTATCTATTAAACTGGCATCTGAGTGCCGAAAACAACGAATAACCTTCACAGTAAGAGAGGAATCAGTTTTGCTAAGGCTCATGAAAATGTTTCCTCACCAAGTTCAGTGTCTCTGATGCCCATGTAGCTCTCCAGAAGGTCGTCTACTTTCTTGACAGCTTTCTCCTCGAACTCTGTCGGCTGGAACAAACATCATGTTCAAGTATGTGATTAAATTGGTTTTTTTTTTTGCTGTCACAGTAAACGTTGTGGGTTAATAAACCTGTTCAGAAGAACGTACCTCATCCTCTACAGTAGCTGGACCTTTGGAGCGAAGTCTCAGAGTTCCCTTTCCAGTACCGACCTTGTTGTCGTTGGCAGGTTTGGCGCCTTTTGACCTCGGCTCGAGCATTTCTGTCGGTGAGAAGAAGAAGAAGACAGTGTTACAGAAAAGACATCTTGTTGTTGCACAACTTCACAACATCACAGTCTTTTGTGCAAACCCTTGCAGATCACTTTTGGCCCCAAAACTCGCAATGATACACTGATGTTTTCATCTGTAACTGCATAGAAACCAACTAAACACTAGTTTGGTTTTACAAGCTAATGTTCCTGTAAAGAAAGCAGTCCTATCTATTCATGCTGATCAACAGAGACATGAGCTGCTCTTTTCCGAGCATAAAAACATGCTGTTTTCTTAGTCTGGAGCTTCCTGCCTTAAGTGACACTTATTTTCATTATCTGCTTATCATTTGGTTCTTAAATGTCAGCGTGATCCTGTTATCTTCAATATATTTTTACTTTTTAAAGCAACCGACACGCCTGCTAAGTGCTCCATGAATCTCTCTGGCTGACAATTTACTGCACAAGAAGGTGTAAAGCTGGCTATTCTTGTCCGTTCTTTCATCAGCTAACAATTATCCTCCTTATTTACTAATGATTTGGTCTTTAAAATGAAGACTATAGTGAAAAGCACCCATTAAACATCGCATAAAACCTAAGGTGACGACACTGAAGAGCTTGTTTTGCTCGACCAACGCTCTGAAACCCAACAGTTTATTTCTTCAGCACATTTTAAAACCACCTGAGTTAATTACAATGTGTTACAAATGCATAAGTCAGACAAGAACAAAAATATGTGCAAAAAGCACGGCAGCAAACAGGATGACAAATCTACTTGTAAAACGGGATAGAAAATAAAAAAATAGACAAAAAAACGACAAAACAGGTCAACAACTTGTGAGATCAAGCTGTAAAATAAGATAAATATAAAATACTGACATATGAAGACCACCAAGAGCAAATGAAAACCATAAAGTCAAAGACAAGCAGAACATTTTTATCATTTCTTACTCACAGAAGAGTGTGTGCAGTAGCAGTACTTCCCACATTTAATTAAATCTGAATTTGTACATATGGAAAAATCTGTACAGTGTCAACAGTACCATGTACACTTCTTGTTTATTTTTCTTCTTTTGATTGATTACTCTACATTTTGTACTACCCCTTTTGCTGCTTTAATGCTGCACATGTCCAGGCTGTGAGAATAATTAAGGCTTATCGTATCATAAATCCTCACAATATAGGAATGTAGATATTCGGTTACATTGTGCTTTTTAACCTTAGGTTCTGCAGTGCTTTACTGTAATGTGTTTCTTATTCACCAATGCAATGCTAGCCTGCCACTGAGTGCAGCTCGGGGTTCAGCGAGCCATGATGAAGTTGATCCCTGAAATATTTGCCATTCTTGTCTGCGAAATGGCCTAAATGACAAATTATTTCCACTCTGAAACAATCACAGCACTCCCATGTACCGTTGAAACCTGGCCTCGAGTTGAGAAACATCGCTGTGCACCATTTGTTTGGATACACAGTCTTGCACCTTAGATGCTGAACGTCTTATCCATCATGTGGTACCATCTGCGACGTCTGCTCAGTCCCAGATTCATTCTACAGCGGGACAAACAGCCCCAACATACAACCAGAGACATACAGAACAATCTTTAGCCACAAGAAGAACAACGAGTCCTGCAACAGATGGTCTGGTTCCCACAGAGTTCTGATCTCAACAGCATGGAGACAGAAGACGCTGATTTCAGCCTAAATCCACAGAAGAACTGTGGCGAGTTCTCCAACATGCTGGAACAACCTGGCTGCCAAGCGCTTTGACGAACTGTACACAAGTGCAGCCAAGAGAAGCAATTTTAAAGACAAAGGGTGGTTGAACCAAATATTGATTTGATATTTTTCTTTTCCCTGCAGTTTTTGTAAAGATAAAACTATTTGTGGCATTATTTCTGATAGCATCCTCACTTCACTTTTAGTGCCTGAAACTTTTGCACAGTCCTGAGCGTCCTGACGTCTGTTGTGCCTTTATCATGTAGGTCAGTTATGTAACGTGTTGATGCTCATGTCTGTGACTCAGCGTGAGCTTCACCTACACTCTTTTCTGCGTCTTGTTTTTCACTTACCGAAGGCCTTCATCGGCTCGACCAGTTTGAGGGTGAAGGACTGGTCTCTGGGTAGCTCTTTGAGCATACGGGCGACCTCATAATGCCGCGTGCCGACGATGTTGCGTCCATTAATGCACTCTATGTGGTCGCCCACGCAGATCACCTTCACCTTGTCCACGACGCTGCCCTCTTTGATTCGCTGCCAAGGAGGAGAGAGAGGACAGAAAAATGGGAGGAAGACGTCAGTGACAAATATAATTACAGGACAGCAGAAACCCCACATGAAAAGAGGTTTGTTTGAGGGGGTTTTATGAGCAACGCTAAAATACAAACTGAAACAGGAGAGAGCAAACAAACCAAAGTGTCTGTGTGTGTGCATCAGGACAATATAATATTTCCCTTTGTTGTGAGCCCACTGATGTGAACCCACTTGGCTCAGCACAATACAAGAATAGCTTTTTATTAATAAATGCTTCAGCGAGAAAGCCAAATAACGCTGTGTATTTCTGAATGACTGTAGAGCTTTAAAAAACGGAAACAAACAGTTGTGATTCAGATTTATCCACTTCATCATTTTACAGGGATCCAGGTAATTTAAACACATTTTCACTTTTTTTAAAGCTACACACAGAGCTGCTGACCCACATTTTGCTCTTTAAACATCAATGGTAACCAATTTACTGCACAGGAGGAGGAAGCTGTGACAGGAAAGCTGGATTAGGCCGGACTAGTCAAGTTCACAAGAGCTATAGTAATTGGATTTTGCGGACATCAAAGGTTAAATCTTAATGAATGAATGAATAACGGCCAGTTTAACCGACCTGCTGGACACTTTCTACAAAGATGAGGCATGTCTTTAATAGTTCTCCTGTTACAACAGCATCACACCACCGACCCAAAGGCTTCAGTGTCACACAGCACTCAGTTCACCAGGATGCAGTGCCGTTTCAGCATCACATGATGGCACATGTGAGCAGTTTGTTTTGGTGGAGCGACATGACCGAGAGCAGATAAGCTCATTACGCCAGGATCCATCAACACAGGCGACATACCAAGGTGAATTATGATTTCTACAATGAAAGGAAGCTTGTAAAGCTACTTTAAATAATGCAGACATGCAAACAAGTCAAACGAATGCAGGAAGGTCAGTGAGACCAAAAATGTATTACAACGTTCCTCTGTGGCAGGAAACTCTAGTCGGATTAATCTGAGTGTTTTAGGTCAGCGTTTACACTCGATTACATTTTAATAACTAATGTATTGTTCCCCCGGGTACTGTAATGTATTCATGTGGTACCTTATGATCACATTTGTTTTATATGTTACTAATTTGACATGTGATGCTTTTTTTTTATTCATTTTTGAAATATGAGAACAATTCTCCACTCTGATGGTCAACAAAGCTGAATTATGTTCAATCTATTAGTAGAAGAAGATCAATCACTGTTGATGACAGGTAAATCATGGAAAAAACGTGAATCATGCATTTATTAAATAACTGCAGGACGAAATATTCCATCGATTTTGATAACTTTTGTTGGGCAGCTGTCATTGTTTAGGATATTTTTTATTAAACTGTAAAAATGATCAATAGATTAATTACTTGCAACCCTGTATGGACAACCATGTGTTGAACCTCCTCATGTTGACCTGATTTTGCCCACACAACTTTGACAATGGGAAAAAAATAAACTGGCGTGGCTTCGGGGACGACTTCAACCAATAAACACAGCTTGCTGTTTATATTATTCCTAATCCTTTAATCCAACCTCATTTCTGAAAATGGAAAAAGCAAAATAAATGTTAATATGGCCACTAACATTGTATACATGACACTTAAAAGAAGTTCTCTCGCTTCCAGAGCGTTCATTTCTTGTGTACCAAGCCTCATTGTGTGCCTGCTCATTTGTTTTTTGTTTTTTTACTGATTCTGTTACATAACTTGACACAGCTTTAAATTAGGAGGTGAAATGAAGATTGATCTTGATGCGTTCCAGGTGAGATGTTGTATGTCCTCTTACCTTTATGAAAGCGTATCCCGCTCCATTGTCAGTGATGGTGAGTCCCAGAGCGTCTTCAGATTTATGGACTTCTATTTCCTTTTTGATCCCTTTAATGTGGGCAAAGATAAAATCCTCGAGGCCGATCTGGCCCCCCAACAGCTTCTCCATGTCGATCTTGTGGGTGTTGAGGGTGCAGAACAGGATCTGTACAAAGACATGCAGCAAGTACAGAAAGAACATTAACATCTATGATGACACACACACGTGATGACGTTTGTGTCAGCAATGGTTATAAAAAACTAAATCTTTTTAATAGACAGTGAAACAATAAATAACACGCTCAGGAAACACCCAGAAGAGTCTGCGTCTTTATACACAATCAAAAAATGATTGCTGTTCTTAGTCAGAGCATGAACGCTGAGCCAGATTCAAAAATAAAACTGCTTCAGTGTAAATGACAGAGTGCTGCGTCACTATGCTAAATGCAGGAGTCATCAGGGAGCTCTGTCTTTATTGCAGCAGTCAAGTTATGCAGTTATGCCCTCTCCCACCCCACAGTGTCATCAGTGTGTCTGCTGTTAAAGGAGCTTTGTATTTAAAGTCCTGAACAAGGAAAATGACCTTTCCTCCTGCGCCAGAAATGAGAAAATCAGGCTTCACACCTTGAGGCTGACATTGCTGCCAGGAGACGGACGGGGAAACGTGAACACCAGGAACACGATACACAAGTGTCCTGATTTAACACCACTTTAAGCAGAGGCTGGACAGTGAAACCCAGGAGGACCAGTGCACAAGTTGTAAATCATTTATTCGGCTCAGACAGACAGCGAAGCTACTAGTAAGCTCTACTTTAATTCATCATTCATTTAAGTCACCCAGGTGATGGTAACCTTAGGAACTTCAGTAAATGGACTGCTGCTTTAAGCTCTAAAAGATGTTTCACCTCTCAGTCAAGAGTTTTTTTTTCTGTTCTGTTAGAGTTATAACTGAAGAAGCCTCCTAGATGAGAGCTGCAACGTCTTCAAGAACCTAAAAGAGAATACCAGTTGCTTTTAAATGCCATTTATTAACAGTCGGACTGGGATCACTTTCCTAGAAGGGCTTTGGGAAACACTGAGCCAGGAATTAGTGTCTGATTTCCGGGTTGCACTGCAGAAAGGGATAGATTCATACTGATTCATCAGCAGGACGACCTTTGTGCACCAATCAGCCTCTGGCAACGAGGACGGCCTTGTTTGGGCCTTTTTTTTTTTTTTCTCCCCTCCCCGTGTACCAACAGGCGCTGTTCACGCTCACACCGGCTGCGTTCGTTGCCTTGGGTTACCAGACTATAAAAGAACGAGATAATAATGGAGGGAGGCCACTGGAGAGAGAAAGTAAAAGGGGAGTATGGGAGAAGAGGAGGCAATGTCTGTGGCGAGGGAGGGGTGCACTGTAGCTGAATTGATGGCTCTTTTCCTTTCTTTTCCATAACACTCTGCCCCCCCACCACCCCCTCCGACCTCCTTGCCTCCGCCCAGGCCAGGGCATTACCCAAGAGCGAGTGGGAGGAACAGCAGCAGACGCCTACACCCGGTTACCAAGGCTGCCAACTGCATTAAGCCGCTTCTCTTGGAGGCAGGCAGCTCTCAGCACTCCTCTCCTCCTGCTGGGCTGCGTGTTCACACCACGAGTGCAGCTAGTTTGCGGCGTCACACACTGTAGCGACAGGCCCGACGCCCTGACTCACAAGAACAGATACTACACCTCCCACTGCCGGTGCCACACTGACCAGAACCCTGATAACCACATGGAAAAAAGGGCAAGTCAAAGGAGAGGAACCGCCATCTGTTCAGCGTCATGCGAGGCCACGGCTGTTCAGTGTGTCAGTGGTTTCAAAAGAAGATTAAAAACATATGAGAGGAGAACGCACGCGCAAAAATCTGACATAAATTTGAATTTTGGAGCCAATGCTAATGCACGAACTTGTATAAATGCATGGCAGCATTTTAGAGTGGCTCGGCCAAAGTCAGAAGAAATGAGCATATTTTGATCTGATATAACTCATTATTCAGCTTAGCGAGCAACAGATCTCATCATTTAAACAGTAATGAATCCAAACGCAGTAACTAAACAGATTTACTGCAGTTAAATACAATTCTGATGCATTTGTGCAACAAGTATTTTCCCTTTATATAATTCTGCTTCGTACTTCAAACATTTCAGGGGGCAAGAATGTACTTTTTACTGCAATACATTTTTTCTGTAGCAACTTTGAAAATTCAGATTTTATTAAAAAATATATTGAGATGAACAAATCTGTGAATCTATGAAATAGCTAAAATAAGCTCCACGCCAAAATCTGAATGGTTTCTACTCAATAATACACACATGAAAGTAAAAACAATATGTACAATAATATAAAATAGCACTAAAATAATACTCTGAAGGCAACTGCATAATGAGTACCTTTAGGAAACTTTATATCTCCATTTATATGATACGTCTGTGATGTAAAACATCCATAAATTGATAACAAATCAGGACTATGTATTGCCTGTAATACCACCCTGTCTGCCTTTGATTCCTCTACTGTCCTATCTAACAAATGTAAAAATGCCACAAAACTCTCTCTCTATATAAGAATACATTTACTTAAGTAAACGATTTGAATACTTCTACAAAGCGTAGGCAGTGGTTACCTCATCTGCCAATTGTTGGAGAAAAAAGTTGTGAAATGTATTTGTTTTCTAGTTTTTACCGCAGCATTCATGACTTTGTAAAGAGTTTTGATTTCACCGCTAGATGAATGAAACACGTGTCAGTTGTCAGGACTAATCTGCTGCTGCTCTTTGTCTTCTATTGTCTCAGACTGAATGTGTTTTCATTCTGAAGTGTTGTTCTGACAGAAGAAGACATCCAATGATTTAACTTTAGTCTCTGGGGAGTTGCGATGAGCACTTACAATGTATTTTGACATTTTACAGCCTAAATAAATTTACTGTTAATAAAAAAATAAATAAACAAAAGCAGTAATCAGAATAATTCTAACCACTCTAAAGGGGAAGACTTTATCATTGAACACTGACAGCTCAAGTGATGAAGAAAAACGATCTTAAAAAATAACCATTTTACTGCAGAAGTGCACAGAGTTACGACTCTAGTGAAAATCAACAATTCAACCAAACTAGAGCGATTCATCAAGCAGACACTAGATGAAATTGGAACAGTAATACACGAACAGGCACCGAAGGTCTTCTCTCCACCTACATGTGTTCTAAACGAGAGGTCACTTCTGCCTCTGTTTGAAGAAAGGTAAAGCTAGACAAATATGGTCTAATTGGACCTCTGGGAAAAACACTCTACTTGAAACAGTGTTGACTAAAAGCTTAGGAAACCTGTTCCTTTGGCAACTGAATCACTGCCAATTTATAGCCTCTTCAACTAGTCTTCTAATGGCAGAAAAGAAGGTCAGAAAGATTAAACAGGGAGCTTTAAGCTTGCAGTGGCAAATTACTCATGTGTAACAGCTTAATAAGCTGTTGTTCTTTTCCACTTCCCAATTTCATCTCCTGTTATTTCTGCGTGTTTTTTTGTGTGTGTGTGTGGTTAACAGGGAATGCTGATGTAAGCGGTGTGTACTGTGGTGTGGCTGCGTGTTCGACAGGAAATCACATTCATCAGCATTTAAGCCTGTGTAATCATTCACCTAGCAGCGGATGTGAGATTCTTCAGCAAGACAATGATGGCGACGATGTTCATAAAGGTGGCTCAGGAAAACAGGGCTGATTATGAGAAGCGTGTCGTGGATGAACTCAATGAGTTCCGATCCAAGCCGAGTGATGACATTAATTCACATTGATGAAAACAAACGTGTGCGCCACAGAGCAGCACAGATTAGAAAGACTTACATCTGACATCAAAAACTGGTACAACCACAGCAACAAACTAGGCAAGATGAGTTTTTACAGCTTTTGAACGTTACAGTATTCTAGGGTTCTTTCAACAGAAATTTGTGACACCTTTGAGACCAGATTTTCTGTTTTTTGTTTGTTTTTTTACAGTGTAGAAGTACCTTTAAAAAAACCCAGCTAGATATAAATAAAGGCAATTAAACAACATATTATGTCGGAGCTTATGCGATTCTAAATTTGATGATCACAGATTCTCATTTTTACAGCATAAGTGTATCCTTGAGGTCATCGATATTGGTATTGCCCCAGAAAAAAACCTGTTGGTCAACTCCTTGTGGGAATGTCGTTCCTTTTACACTCACTGCAAACTGAGTCATGTTTACAGTGCAGCAGTAAAGACAAATGTTGAGCGTGACACATTTTTTGCCTGATGGCTAACTTGATCAGGATAAGTTTTAGTTTAGGTGTATTTATGCCTCCATTCATTTCCTAAAAATAAGCTTCTTTTACTGAAGTGAGCTGGGTTTACCAGATTTATTTTTCTATTTTGCCTATGAACAATCCATTTAGAGACACCAAGAAAAAAACGACATGTCACAAGAATTGAATTACAAACTACGAAATATGTCTGTATCAATAAAAACTTTCCTCCGCTTCACAAAGTGAGGGAAGGGAGAGGATGTTGAACAACTCCAGGATAAACTCTCCTCTGATCCATCACCACACCCATCAGATGACAACAAATAGTTTCCTTTTTATTCATTGTTGTTTAGTTTCCACGACCGCATCGATCCTCAGAGAGGAAGATGGGAAGCTCGAGTCGCTTATGAAAACCTGCTCTTGTTGATGAAGGTGTTGCCGTGACAACACCTTCATCTGCATCACTGCTGGTAAACAACCGCTTAAATCACTATAAAGTCAAATGCAGTCCAGTGGGTGGCAAGTACACACACACACACACACAAGTCTCTTTCTGCAGTTTCACATGCTCCTCGTTAGCATCCCATTTGTTTCTCTTGCGGCCATGCGATGCGCACGCTGGGAGACTTCATGCTCATTTGCTTGTCACGTGTGTAATGAAGCACAATTACCAGTAACCGCATGTTCACTGGAGTCATGTTGCAGGATAATCTCAGAACATGTTATTAGACAGTAAAACAACCGAGCTGGGTCTGTTTACTGTGCGAGCAAAATCGGTTTCAGCTGGGGAATAACGTAATTACAATTATGGTGAAGAAGAATAAACTTCAGAATAAACCACAGCTTCCCGTTTTGACACAAAAAATAACGCCGCTAGTAATGTCCAAATGG